GTGAGCTACAGCAGCGTGGTCAGCTGCGACTTGCGTACGTGGCCTCTCAGGCCAACACTGCTGATATCTTCACCAAGGCACTTGCGCCTTGTGATCATCAGCGTTTCTGTACTCAGCTGGGCCTTGTGCCTACCTTGCCTCACTTGCTCACCCCTTGACCTTGTTTGTACTGTTGCATATATATATACACGTGCTCTTGCTTGTCTAGCCTTATATATATATGTAATCCTGCATGTGAACTGGCCTTGTGGCCTTGAACTTGTGTTCGGAATGTGTGGTGACTTTGTGATCCACCCTGAGCTTGCTTTGCTTTGCTTGACTGGTCTTGTGACCCCTTGTTCTCCCCCACTTTGCCTATGGGGGTGTGTCATATTTATATGACAGAGCTACTGTAGGCTATAGTGGGGTAGCACATATGGGGTACAGTTTTCTAGGGTTTGTATTTGTACCCAACTTTCCCTTAGTCATTCTCATTCCTGTTTTCTTAATTCACATTGTTCTGCGCAGCGACGAAGCCTCTCACGTTGTCAGAACGACTCGATACGAGGATGTTAGCCTTGGTAGAGCATGTGTAAGGGATCCATGCTCTCAAATACGTGCACGACAATCACCGGGCTGTCATTCCACAACACTCGTGCGTTCCGAGCATGTCCTTGCACGGTACCCTGTATAGCGTTGTTCTGCGCAGCGACGAAGCCTCTCACGTTGTCCGAATGATAGGATACGTGGATGGTAGCCTTGTTAGAGCATGTGTAAGGGATCCATGCTCTCAAATACGTGCGCGACAATCACCGGGCTGTCATTCCACAACACTCGTTCGTTCCCAGCCTGTCCTTGCACGGTACCCTGTATAGCTTTGTTCTGCGCAGCGACGAAGCCTCTCACGTTGTCTGAATGACACGATACGTGGATGGAAGCCTTGTAAGATCATGTGTAAGGGATCCATGCTCCCAAATACGTGTGCGACAATCACCGGGACGTCATTCGCCAACACTCGTTCGCTCCCTGTCTATCCTTGCACGGATCTCTGTATAGCATTGTTCTGCGCAGCGACAAAGCCTCTCACGTTGTCCGAATGACACGATACGTGGGTGGTAGCCTTGTTAGGGCATGTTTAAGGGATCCATGCTCTCAAATACGTGTGCGACAATCACCGGGACGTCATTCGACATCACTTGTTCGCTCCCTGTCTGTCCTTGCACGGTTCTCTGTATAGGTTTGTTCTGCGCAGCGACGAAGCCTCTCACGTTGTCCGAATGATAGGATACGTGGATGGTAGCCTTGGTAGAGCATGTGTAAGGGAGCCATGCTCTCAAATACGTGCACGACAATCACCGGGCTGTCATTCCACAACACTCGTGCGTTCCCAGCCTGTCCTTGCACGGTACCCTGTATAGCTTTGTTCTGCGCAGCGACGAAGCCTCTCACGTTGTCCGAATGACAGGATACGTGGATTGTAGCCTTGTTAGAGCATGTGTAAGGGATCCATGCGCTCAAATACGTGCGCGACTATCACCGGGCTGTCATTCCACAACACTCGTTCGTTCCCAGCCTGTCCTTGCACGATACCCTGTATAGCTTTGTTATGCGCAGCGACGAAGCCTCTCACGTTGTCCGAATGACACGATACGTGGATGGAAGCCTTGTAAGATCATGTGTAAGGGATCCATGCTCCCAAATACTTGTGCAACAATCACCGGGACGTCATTCGACAACACTCGTTCGCTCCCTGTCTGTCCTTGCACGGATCTCTGTATAGCTTTGTTCTGCGCAGCGACAAAGCCTCTCACGTTGTCCGAATGACACGATACGTGGGTGGTAGCCTTTGTTGACGGGAATTGGCCCAGCCCTCGCTTGGGCGAAGCGGACTTCGCAGTTGGGGAGCGCGCAGAAGTTGTCGTAGACTGCGCGCAGAGTTCGACCTCGACCTGCCCGTATAGTTCGACCTCGACGCGTTCGCAGAGGACGCGGTCGACGGGCTCGCAGAGGACGCGGTCGACGGGCTCGCAGAAGTCGCTGGTCGACAAGTCCGTCGAGGAGCTCGGTTCGACGGGATCCGTTCGGTATAGGAGCTCCTCGACGAAGGCGGTATAGGAGCTCCTCGACGAGGCTGGCAGAGGGCTCGTCTAGGCGAAAACTGCTCGACGAAGCATTTGTCGAACTACTCTACGGAAGCCGCGCGACTGCGAAATTCGTCATGTGGGCGAATGTCGCCCAGGAGGTTTTCGCGAAGTCAACCTGCGGAACGGCATCACGTGCTCGACGGTGCATCGCTGAAGAAACCGTCGGCACGTGTTCTACCTGGCACCTGCGCAATGTGCCTGGCGGCGCGTCCGTCTACCTGCACCTACTTGGTAGGTGCGCACCTGCGCAGAAGTTCACCTGCCTCTGCCGCGCTGGCAGACCTGCTATACCGCGCTGGCAGACCGCTGCTATACCGCGCTGGCAGACTACTCTGCTGCAGCGTTGGCAAGCCGCTCTTCTGCTGCGCTGGCATAGTTCGCCTTGCAGAGGGCTTGCTAGGTGTTGCAATGCCATTCTAGCTATATCGACTTGCATGCCTCATTGTAATCTAATGTTCTTTCAATTTCTTACTGAAACTCTTGACACATTTCCTTGTGAACACAGCAAGTAGCGAGAACACCTAGCGCAACGCTTCGATCACCCGCACAACCCCGTGCCTTCCTCCGTAGTCCACTCCCGTTGTGTAGTGACTCTCCGCGGCCTTGTTAGGGCATGTGTAAGGGATCCATGCTCTCAAATACGTGTGCGACAATCACCGGGACGTCATTCGACATCACTTGTTCGCTCCCTGTCTGTCCTTGCACGGTTCTCTGTATAGCTTTGTTCTGCGCAGCGACGAAGCCTCTCACGTTGTCCGAATGACACGATACGTGGGTGGTAGCCTTGTTAGGGCATGTGTAAGGGATCCATGCTCTAAAATACGTGTGCGACAATCGCCGAGACGTCATTCGACAACTCTCATACGTTTCCCACCCTATCCTTGCACGGTTCCATGTATAGCTTTGTTCCGCGCAGCGACGAAGCCTCACACGTTGTCCGAATGACTCGATACGAGGATGGTTGCCCTGTTAGTTCATGTGTAAGGGATCCATGCGCTCAAATACGTGTGCGACAATCACCGGGACGTCATTCGACAACACTCGTGCGTTCCCAGCCTGTCCTTGCACGGTACCCTGTATAGCTTTGTTCTGCGCAGCGACGAAGCCTCTCACGTTGTCCGAATGGCAGGATACGTGGATGGTAGCCTTGTTAGAGCATATGTAAGGGATCCATGCTCTCAAATACGTGCGCGACAATCACCGGGACGTCATTCGACAACACTTGTTCGCTCCCTGCCTGTCATTGTACGGTACCCTGTATAGTTTTGTTCTGGGCAGCGACGAAGCCTCTCACGTTGCCCGAATGACGCGATACGTGGATGGTAGCCTTGTTTGAGCATGTTTAAGGGATCCATGCTCTCAAATACGCGTGCGACAATCATCGGGAGGCCATTCGACAACACTTAAACGTTCCCAGCCTACCAGGCATGGTTCCTTGTATAACTTTGTCTCCACAACGTCGTCGTCGGAGGGGATTTCACAGGATGGTGTAGGGCTCTGTCAATGGCGCTCTGTCATGGTCCTTACGCATCATCGCTACCGTATGTCACACCGAGGTTGTTAGAACAGTAGACGTGGGTTTCACAGATTACATTACTCCATAGATGGTTGACTTAGATTCATGTTAGCCCATCTCCCTAAACCATCTGATCAGCCAAATTCGCAATGCTGTCGTCTGTCCGTAAGTTGTTGAACGAGGGGAATATCATCATATCTGAGTATAACTGGTTTTCTGGGCCAAGACACGACGATGTTGGTGGCGCAATAGGTAACCAAATTTGCACTTTAGGCGAACAACATCTTAATCCTGTTGTTTGTGCTGATGCGTATGCGCATACCTTTACCTGAAATCGTGATTGAACTCGTACCCTAAACACCTCTTTGATATGGTGTCAAGTGTTTTTAAAACTCAACTCTTAAAGTTAATATTTTAACCACTGTTATGTTATGACGGAATCTAGGCACCTTGCCTCAATCCGTGCGACACTTGTGTGTCTGATTGTTGCAGCCCGTCGAGTACCTCCAACTCCCTCTGCTGGAAGAAACCTGATTCTTCCTGTGCTGACTAGGATAGGTAGTGAAACCCGCGACGCTTTGCCAGACACGCGAGCACCTCTCCCCCACCCTTAAGCAAGCCCATAGCGTTATCGGGGCGGGGGAGCCAGCTGGCGTGGGCTCCCCGCGCCGATGCCCCGCGATACCGGCGCCACGCAACCATGCCCTGACCATACAGCGTCGCTCCCTCTTGCCCGTGGTAGCGACGCCGTCGTCGTTCCCCCCAGCTACTGGTAGGCTGACTGAGAACCTGTCCAGCTGGCCCACGTCGTGACCCTCCCCTGCTTCCGCGCCATTGTATCTGTCATGCTTGTTCGGTGGGGATGAACTTGCGACACGAGATACCAGCCCGTTTCTGTAACTGGACTGCAAATCGACCCTGCGGTGCGCTTGTTTCTCGCCAATCGGAAGCAGGCTGCTGTAACAATTTCCCCGCTGGCGACATTATGTCGAGGGCTCTACCAGGTAAGAACCTGGACCATCGTTTTTACACCTTCCGTTTCAACGAAACCTTCGTCACATCTGCTGGTATCACGCGCGGTTGCCGATTTACCCACGCACGTATCTCAAAACATAGACACAACCGTAGAGGGCCTGAGAGCTGTTTCGACCCGTTTTCAAATTTCGAAATTCGAAGGTTAGCACGCTGCAGCACGAGCGGTTTGAGAACCGCAGAGAACCACTCGAGCTCAAGAGCGGTGCGTCCGTGAACCTGGCGACGGATAGATACATTGCTGGTGATGGCTTGGCGACTATAAAAAGCACGTTGAAACATACTGATAGTATGTTTCTTAACGTTTTAGATGTGGTGTTAGATCGACCATGGATACTGCCGAAGGGCGCCGGTTTGATAGACCTGGTAGAGGCACAAATAACCGGTACTCATCCGTGTTGGCCTCAGTTCGTGCTCTAGGAGAAGGGGACCGTGAAGAATCGGTGCAGGCAACGGCGGCGACAACACCCAGCAATGGTAAGCACTATTCAAGACGTTTCACTTAGTACTTGTAAGCTGATTTCCGCGAGAGTTTGGTTTGTTGTACGTAAATAGCCTACGGTGCTGTATACTAAGAATGTGTGTGTCTTGATGATGTTCAGGCGAGAGAACCCTTCCACTCAACCAGCTGTCCCTGGGAGGACTTCACAACCCGGCGAGTACAACTGGGACGACTGGGGGCCGCCGGACGGGTCCTCGCCGCACGACGGTTCGCAGAGGCTCAAATCAACATCAGCTGCGGCCCAACTCTGCTCGCGCCACGCCAACATCTAGACAGCAGCAGCAGCAGCAGCGGAACTCTGCTCGCGTCACCCCAACCACTGGACAGCAGCAGCAGCAGCAGCTGCAGAGCACCACTGGTCTGCCTACCTCACCGTATGGGCAGCAGCAGCAGCAGCAGCAGCAGCAGCAGCAGCAGCAGCTGCGGAACTCTTCTCGTGCCACCCCAACCACCGGACAGCAGCAGCAGCAGCAGCAGCTGCAGACCACCACTGGTCTGCCTACCTCACCGTATGGGCAGCAGCAGCAGCAGCAGCAGCAGCAGCAGCAGCAGCTGCGGAACTCTTCTCGTGCCACCCCAACCACCGGACAGCAGCAGCAGCAGCAGCAGCTGCAGACCACCACTGGTCTGCCTACCTCACCGTATGGGCAGCAGCAGCAGCAGCAGCAGCAGCAGCGGAACTCTCCTCGTGCCACGCCAACCACTGGACTGCAGCTGCAGCAGCTGCCCAACTCTCCTCGCCTCACCCCAACCATTGGACATCAGCAGCAGCAGCTGCCCAACTCTCCTCGCCTCACCCCAACCACTGGACATCAGGAGCAGCAGTTGCAGACCACCACGGGTCTGCAAACCTCGACTAATGGACTGCAGGAGCAGCAGCAGCAGCCCGCCACGGATCTGCATGCCTCACCGTATGGGCAGCAGCAGCAGCAGCCCGCCACGGATCTGCATGCCTCACCGTATGGGCAGCAGCAGCAGCAGCAGCCCGCCACGGATCTGCATGCCTCACCGTATGGGCAGCAGCAGCAGCAGCCCGCCACGGATCTGCATGCCTCACCGTATGGGCAGCAGCAGCAGCAGCCCGCCACGGATCTGCATGCCTCACCGTATGGGCAGCAGCAGCAGCAGCCCGCCACGGATCTGCATGCCTCACCGTATGGGCAGCAGCAGCAGCAGCCCGCCACGGATCTGCATGCCTCACCGTATGGGCAGCAGCAGCAGCAGCCCGCCACGGATCTGCATGCCTCACCGTATGGGCAGCAGCAACAGCTGCCCGCGGATGTGCCATCTTCGCCGCATGTGCAGCAGCAGCAACAGCAGCAGGCACCGATGCAACCCGAGGGTCTGCATACCCCTTCTACTGGGTATGGGGATGATGGCGCCCCGACTGACTATATGCAGCCCCTAGACCCTGAAGCTTTCCCGGAGATGGAACCTCAGGTACCTGAGCCTGGTTACGAGGGGCTAGATGAGTATAGTGATGCCGATGAGGAAGCGGGACAAGGAGTGGACCTTATCTCCCGGGAAGAGTTCGATGCTGCTCAGGCTGAGGCACGTGAGCTGCGCCGCCGCCTTATGGAAGCTGAAAATGAGAACCGTCGCCTGTCGCACGGTGTTGCTAACCATACCAGCGAAGACGCTCCGGACGAAGCGAGCAACCCTGGCAACTCCTCAGGTGATGCTGATGCTCACGGTATGGGAGCGGCTGGTCCTGGTGCTGCAGCGGCTGGAAGTGGTGCCGCAGCGGCTGGAAGTGGTGCTGCAGCGGCTGGAAGTGGTGCTGCAGCGGCTGGAAGTGGTGCTGCAGCGGCTGGTCCGAGCGCGCCTACTCCTAATGGCGTGGCAGGAAACACGCTCCAGGCGTCGTTCCCGAGAACTCTACTCGTGGAACCGAATCGGGTGGCTATCATAAATGCGGTCAGGACGGCCCACAGCCGGGGAACTATTTTGGACTTGCAGCAACTGTCGAGCATGCAGCGGACGTGGGCGCATCGGTACGCTGACGCGTTGGCCAGCATGCCAGATATCCACAATGGGTTCAAGGTAATGTCCCAACGGTGTCCCACTCCCCACCCAGTGCATTACATCCTACTGCCGTACCGTTTGTATGGTCCTTGGCGGAGGCAACGGACTTCTAGTGCTGTTTTCACCCATTGGGACCCACCATTGACTCCATACCCATGTCAGACCGCCCATTTGCAGGTTATTACATGCGCCATTTCTGCTGCCCTGCTGTGTATTTCACAGCAGGGGGCAGTGCGTTGTTATCCCACAAGTAATCCCTCTAACCACCTATCACCCCCCATGTTCCCGTGTCAGGGGGCCGCGAGTCGAGCTGTGGAGGTCCTTTACTTCGAAACTTCGGATGTGGACCTGGAGTATTGGACGCCGCGGGACACCAACATCACCACCCTCTGCACGGCTCTAAACATCACAGATCCTGAGGGAGTGGCTAACCTGCGCCTTGTCATGGAGAACGAAACGGCTCGGCCTAGGCACCTTCGAAAGAAGCTTCAGGATGCGAGGAACAAGACCCTCACCACGGGTCGTGTCTTGCTGTACGAAAGATTTGACATTCGCATCAAACGTCCGGACCGCAACCGGGTCGAGATCGGAACGCTGTCGCCTGCGGCGTTCTGTGCCTCCTACCCTGCTAGTAAGATGATGGCTACACCATTCCCCAACAGACCGCTCAAACCCTGGCTAGCAGATGGCAGTTAGGCTGTCACAGCATCTCGGTTTTCCCGTCAACTCTTACCTTGCATCTTCCAATACCATTTTCCCCAGCCCACCATCCCCATGCAGGCAGCCCGGTGCACTGCTGTGGGCGTGGGATGCAAGGCGGCGTGCCTTTAGTTAAACTCCCCTCCCACCAATTGATCCCCACCCAAGTCCCACTGCCTGTGCTCACCATCACCCTGCAGGCAGCCCGGTGCACTGCTGTGGGCGTGGGATGCAAGGCGGCGTGCCCTTAGTTAAACTCCCCTCCCACCAATTGATCCCCACCCAAGTCCCACTGCCTGTGCTCACCATCTCCGTGCAGGCAGCATGTTGCACTGCTGTGGGCGTGAGATGCAAGGTGGAGTAAACCCCCCTCCCACCACTGGATCCCACCCCTTTGTGCTCACTGCCTGTGCTCACCGTATGCTGCAGGCAGCTTGTTGCATTGTTGTGGGCGTGGGATGCAAGGCCACAATGATTCAAAAACTCCCCTCCCACCACTTGATTCCCCACCCACTGCCCACATGCCTGTGCTCTCCATCCCCCCCGCAGGCAGCCCGCTGCACTGCTGTGGGCGTGGGATGCAATGAACATTCAATTGATTTCACAACTCTCTCCCATCCTGACCTCAACACCCACACCCTTCCAACCTTCCGCACCCTACAGGTGCTCTTTCGTGAAACTTGTTGACGTGGCATCATAATCGACTGGGGATCCCTTTCGCCTGACTTTTTCACCCTTGCGATCTTCCACTCGTTTGAGAGGCCGGGGCATGCTGTCTTAGTCCTCCGTTTCAAGCAGATCGCCTTCTTCCTGCTAGGGGTATGTAAATTTTTGAAGCATGCATGAGAATGTTTGCCATTACTGTCGTTGCTCTAAGGATCCCCTTCTTGGTGCTGCAGGTTGAGTACAAGCTCCTGAAGAACGAAGAGATGTCGCGCAGCTCAGTTGACAACAAGCGTGCTCTTGCGATCTACCATTCCAACGTGCACAACGCCGTTGCTTTTGCTGTTCAGAACCGGAGTCCTGCGACGGGTCCTTGGTGGCAGGCTGAGTACAAAGCGTGGAAGTTTAACGAGGCAACGAAGAGGGTCTTCATCAGTTGCGAGGGGCTGCCGGGATTGCAGGGCCCCTAATGTTTAGACGGTTGCAGTGTATGAGTGCCTAACGCGTAGAGTGCAAGTGTGTGTGTCGGCCCAACTCTTGGTAGTTTGCTGTAGTTTGTGTGAGTGCGTGCTTTTGTGCACGTGTTTGTAGTTTCTGCTAATTGTTGTCTTTAGACCTAATTTGTAATTTGCTTTTAGTAATATATAATTACCAATATAAATTATCAGTATTATATAATATCTAATAACTAATTCACCATAATACAAAATAAATATGCTATTTGTAGGCTATGATAAACATTTGATATATGCCTATATGGAAGTGTACTAACTGTCAAATGTAACGCGATAAGTAACAACGTAACTGTTACGAATACTGGTAAGTTATTCACCACTACTTTCTTGCCAAGGTGGCGTTCGTCTGAACGCCCACGTGACCATGTACATTCCGAAATGTGTGGAGAAAACTCTCAAATTTCGGACACCTGTCGAGTATAGGACGGCTGAGATAACGCGATGGATTTGACATCAACTGACATGAGCTTTTCTCTCACAAACCCAACACCAATAACAAACGCCAGAGGCGACTGACACTATTACGCGCGAAATGCTGTGATTAGGCGCGGCCATCAACCTACATAGATTTCGACCAATGAAAACGATCGCAATTACTGCTGATAGAAATCACGAACAAATGAAAGGCGACAAAGCCGTTCGCTAATGCTGAGTTACACCTTCTCGTGAGACTTCCCAACTGATCGGGCCTTTCGCCGATTACACATTCGTTCCAGCCTGCAAGTAACTTTCCAGAAGGTTTACGTTCGGGAGGCCCCAAGCCTCGCATCCCGTGATTCAGTATGTTCGCCAGTAACTACAGGGCTGATTTCTCGACACCAACCACAAAGTAACTACCAATTAGCTTCAAAGTAGGTTTAGCTTCCATGCATTTTTGGGATGGTAAGCCTAGGGATAGGTGAGCAGGGGGCACAACATCGATAGATAGGCGACCGAGCTTTTTGTGACATCTTCTTATGATCAACATATGTGTGGAGGAGAGAAGTCGGGGAAAGTCCGACTTTCAAAGCCGAAGCGAGAAGGGACGTCCCCCTTTCAAAGGCGCCCCCCACTCACCCCCTCCCCCCCCTCCCCCACCCCCCTTACGCTTTCCCCTTTTCCCCGTGCTTCGGTTCCTTGACCAACCACGACACGACGATTCGCTATTCACTCAACCAGCCGCAGCGCTAGCGGCTGGGGTGGCCGCCTTGCGATGCGAACGGCTTGTAGGCCGCGAGGCCTGCTGCCGTGCTGCTGTTTCGTTACTGTAAACCAGCAGGGAGGGTGACGTGGCTTCCGCTGCGTGTACGCGGCTTGCTACGCCCGCCGATCGTACGGACGTTGAGCAAAAGGGTGATAGGGCTCGCGTCGCGTCACGTGCAAGGCTCGGCCGTTGTCATCCCTCCTCCTACCTTTACCACTCGGCGGCGGCGGCAGCAATAGCTGGTTCTTATCTAATTGAATGTGTTCGGGAGAGATGGAACCTTCTAGAAGGTTTCGACTAGAGCAGCAAAACCGAGCCTGGAGCGGCACACGTGCAAGGCAGGCAGCGACGCTCCTGCCTTGCACCGTACTTCTTGTCTTGCCGCCTCTACTTCACTCTACATCACGTCATTGTCGACTCATTTAGCCTCAAACCCGAACGCTTCCGACAGTGCTTTCGGTCCGCACCTTGGCTCGCAACTCTGCAGTGGGCGCTATTCTGAATAGAGTCTTTTCTGTCCATCCGGTCACCACCCCGTCCTGTTTCCCCACACCAATCGCCAGCCGGTCGTCACTCCTCATCCAGGCACCAAATACTTGAACTTCACCCCTCATCCGCACCACTCGCCAAACAATCAAGCGTCATTCCCGCCTCTTCGCGCCGCGTTCACCCGTCATTCCCGCCTCTCCCGCGAGGCGCTGAATCCCTTACGCCGGAAGCCCTTTCTTTCCGCCCTTTCCGCCGGTTTTCGCACCCTCATGGCGGCGCTGTTTGGTTCGTTTCCTACCAGCCAGTGTCAATGGATGAACGACCTGACGGATTCCGTCATCGTTCACGTTGACGTTGACGGGCGTTCCACACTGCTAGGGTATATGCTGGCCGAGCAGCATGATTCCGCGTGTCAGGATTCCGAGAGGTAAGTGTAATTGCGCCTTCAATTCACACTCTGCAGCGGTGCCATTTCGTGACTCCTCGCCGTGGTTGGGCCGTCGTTGCTCACTCGAACGGGTCTTCGTTTCTCTCCTTCTCTCCCGTTTCCCCTTCCCCTCTGTGCAGGACGTTTACTCGTGCTCCGGACGAGGAGCCGGCGTCGCAAAGCAAGGACCAATCGCAATGCAAGGACCCGTCGCACGGCAGTCGCAAGGACGACGAATACCACACTGGCGGCGCTGCCTCCCATAAACGGCAAGTCCTTTCACTTGTCTCGCGTCTCTTCCTTACGTCCTTACCGTGACCTCATTGGTCCTGAAGCAATGTTGCCACGTTCATCTTGTTCAAAATATCCTCATTAGTGGCCGACCATTATTGTTTCCATACGTGTCCAGTGAACAAACTAACTTGCATGCTCATGTTTTCCTAAGCTTCCGTCGTTCCCCGTCTCACATCTCCGCCTCACGACTTCTCTCCTGGCGCATTCCCCCTCTCCTCACACCCTCCCCGCCGTCCCGCGCGTGTGTCTCCAGGCAGCGAGAGGAACCGAGCGAGACGAGTAGCAACAAGGCCAATCGGGAGAAGATGCGCCGCGACCGACTCAACGACAGGTGCGTGCGACGCTGGTGGTGCCACCCAAATGCGGACCCAGTGGGTCACTCAGCACGGTGCGCCGTGCTCTCGATACTCCATCACCCTTTCCCAGCGCTTGCTTTTTGGGCACCTTATGATTCCTTTCCTTGCAGCTCTGCCCTTCCCTCTCTTTCCCCTCATCCCGTTCTTTGTGCCCCCGCGCCCTCTCTTGTCTGCGCATGCTATCCATCCACCCCTCCTTCCACCCTTCCGCTTCTCTACCCCCTTCCCCCCTCCTACCGCAGGTTCGAGGAGTTGGCGCGCCTGTTTCTTCACCTCAACGCGCTTGTTACCTTCCCCTCCCACCCCCCTACCGCAGGTTCGAGGAGTTGGCGCGGGCGCTGGAGCGGAGCGAGCTGGCGCGCGCGGACAGGGGGAGCATTCTGGTGGACGCGGTGCGCGTGCTGGCGCAGCTGAGGGCGGAGACGAGCCGGCTGAGGGGCTCCGCGGAGCACATGAGCGAGCAGATCCGCGAGCTCAAGGTGGGGGGGGGGGGGGGGGGGGGGAAGGGGGGTGGAGGGGGAGGGTGTTGGGGAAGTGGAGAGGGGTGGTGAAGGGGTGGCAAGAGAGGGAGGTGTGCTGTGGGCGATAGGAGGGAGGAATAGAGCATGGAAGCAGGATCGGCTGTCGTTCGTATCAAGTCTCGTGCCACGCTTGTGCCATTGTCTGTGATTCTGCCTGTGCTCTTTTCCCTGGGGGGTCCTACACACATTGCCCGTGCATTGCCCTTGCCCATACGCAACAACGCATACGCAACAAAAGTCACCCCTTGCCCATACGCAACAACGCATTGCCCCTGTGCATTTCTCCCTGTGCACAGGCGGAGAAGAGTGAGCTGAGGGAGGAGAGGGCGCGCCTGCTGGCCAACAAGCAGCAGCTGGAAGACGAGGTCCGCCGCTTGGCCGCATCTGGTGCCGCCCAATCCACCGCCGCCACGTCAGCAGCAGTATCGATGGTTTCTTCAGCTGCCCGGCAGGCAGCCGCTACTCCTCCTCCTCTTGGGTTTGCTCCTCCTGGTTCTCCTGGTGCTGTGCCCGTGATGCTGCATCCGGTGTGTGAGCCGGGCAAGCTGGGCCCAATGGGTGCTCACATGGGCTTGATGCCCTTTCCGTTCATGCCTGGGGGGATGCTTCATTCTCTCTCTCCTCCTCACTCGCACCTTCACCGTCCCCAGCCTCGCACCGTGCAAGGCAAGTGTCCCTCTGCAGGCAACCATCTTGGTACAGGTCATCCTGTTTCAACCCGTCCTGCTACTCTTGCTGCTGCTGGTGTGGTTCAGCCGGTTCAGCTGGCGCCGCTGCTGCTGCTGGTTCACCTGCTGCTGCTGCTACTGGTGGTTCAGCAGGTTCAGCTGCTGCTGCTGCTGCTACTGGTGGTTCAGCAGGTTCAGCTGCTGCTGCTGCTGCTGCTGGTTTAGCTGGTCCAGCTGGTGCTGCGGCTGCACCTGCTCCACAGTACCTGCATTTGCCGGCCATGCCATATGCCATGCCAGGAATGCCGCCCATGGGCATGTGGCAGTGGTTACCACAACCAGATGTTGAGTCGTCGCATGATAAAAAACTCAGGACGTTGGTGGTATGATTCTTTTCTTGCTTGGCCTGTTTTTTCACATATATATACATATATATGTGTTTTTTTTAGCAAATGAAAGCCATGTTTAGTTATTATGGTGGTGGTGGCTATATGGACATAATGAATACAACGGATGAAAGCTGCAGTTGTCGCTGTAGTTCCTCGGACGTGCCAGAAGTGACGACGAACCCAGATTATCCGCATTATAAGCCTCGCCCACTTTGAAGGCCCGTTTCTGCCAGCCTGCCAAATCCACACTAGAGATTCGTAGTTGTTTCCAGCCACAGCTTTTCCATTCTTTTCCGTAGTTGTTTTCCATTCCTTAGTAGCTGCTCGATTCCTTTTTGTTGCGGAAATCTCAAAGGTAGCGCTCTGGGTACCCTTGGGATTTCCGCGCTTTCGACGCGCGGCGCTCGCCGGCTGCCTTTTTTGTTCCTTTTCCCTTCGTTTCTGTTTTGATACACGAGGTTACTCGGAGCAGCATTTTAGACGAGATTCTTGTGACCGTTGTGGTTCTTGCAACATTGTACGACGGTCACTTGAGAAAAGAAACAGGCAGCTACAAATCAAAGCTTAGCAGACGAATGGCTGGGGACGACGGAGCGGAAGCGCGGCAGCAGGCGGAAGGCGGAACTGCGCACAGCCACGATCATTCGCTCGACGACGGTCATGCGGCGCACAGCCACGGCCATGCCGCGGATTCGCACGCGCACGCTCATTCGCACGACGACGACCATCACCACCACCACCACGACCATCCTGCAACGTCAGTGATCCCTGGAATCCATTCTCGTTCTACGGTGATCTAGCGCGTCGTTATGGCCGCCAATCGTTGATGCGTGCATTCCTTATTTTATTCCCTCCCTTTTCTACTCCCTTGCTTGCATTCCCCGTCAACCGCCAGCCTTGCGTGCATTCGTTTGTTTTAGAACCATTTTTCCTTTTTCCCTCCTTTCCTTAACTTAATTATTGTTCTATTTCCTTGGGAACCTCTTGTCCAACCCAGCGGCGACGCGTCAGCACCGTCCGACGAGTTCCGCGGCGCGGACGGGCGCGTGTACCACTCGCACGACGGGCTCGCGCCGCACTCGCACGAGCCGCTCGACAGCGCGGGGAGCTTCGCGCTGCGCGCGCCGCCCCTGCCGAACCGCGACTTGGCGGAGCGCGCGTTTACCGTTGGAATCGGCGGCCCCGTCGGATCAGGGTAGGATGGGGGAGGGGAAAAGGGCGAGGGGGAGGAAGTGGGTGGGTGATCGGCGGGCCTGTCGGATCAGGGTAGGATGGGGGAGGGAGGGGGAAAGGGCGAGGGGTGGGAAGGGGGTGAGAGAGGGGAATCCGAAGGGTTGCATTGTGCACAGGTTGTGTGGGAGAGGGACGAGGGTGGTGGAAGATGAAGGGAAAGGGTGGGTTTTCGCATGACTTGCCAGCCAGCCATGGCTGGTCACGAGTGGGTCTCGGAGCGCATGTGCTTTGGGATGGTGGGACGAATGGGGCCTGGGTAAGGTTGGGAACGGGTAGCCGGGATGAGGGGAAGGGGGGGGGAGGACGAGAAGGAAGGGGAAAGTGCGGAAGGGAGGAGGAAGGGAGATTGGAGAGGGGTAACCCGCCTGCTTGTATAAGTTAAGTGTGGCAAGGTTGATGTGTATGTGGATGGTTTATGTGTATGTGGATGGTTGATGTGTATGTGGATGGTTTATGTGTATGAGAAAGGGTGAATGCTCTCATGCCCGCTGCCGCACCCTTCTTCCGTCCTGCACCCACCTTCCGACTCTCATGCAGCAAGACAGCTCTCATGCTGGCTCTGTGCCGCACGCGAAGGGAGCAGCAGTGCAGCCTGGCAGCGGTCACCAACGGCATCTTCACATGAACCACCCATTCTGCTCCTATGCTCCCATTCCCCCGTCCACCCACAGAAAGACTGCCTTAATGCTCGCTCTGTGTCGCACGCTGAGAGAGAAGTACAGCCTGGCAGCGGTGACCAACGACATCTTCACGCAGGAGGACGGCGAGTTCCTGATCAAGCACGCCGCCCTCTCGCCGCCCGGCCGCATCCGGGCAGTGGAGACGGGCGGCTGTCCGCACGCCGCCATCCGGGAGGACATCAGCATCAACCTGGGGCCGCTCGAGGAGCTTTCTACCCAGTTCAGTGCTGACATGCTGCTGTGCGAGTCAGGGGGGGGTGAGTGGAAGGAGGGGGGCCATGCGTGAGTGAGACGAAGGGTGTATTCTCATGTGTGTGTGTCCAGCCATTCGGGAAGACATCAGCATCAACTTGGGGCCGCTGGAGGAGCTTTCAGTGCAGTTCACAGCGGACATGCTGGTGTGGTGTGCGAGTCAGGCGGAGGTGAGTGGGTGTGGTGTGGTATGGGTGGAAGGATGCTATGCGTGCATGCGGCTGTCTGCACGCCGCCCTCCAAGAGGGACATGCCATGCCATCCAAGAGGGACATGCCATCCAAGAGGGACATGCCATGCCATGAGCATCCACCTGGGACCCTTGGAGGAGCTTTCAGTGCACTTCAGTGCGGATATCAACCGCACTGTTCCGCACTGTTCCGCACTGTTCCACACTGTTCCACACTGTTCCGCACTGTTCCGTACTGTTCCGCACTGTTTAGTGTTTAGGGTTTAGAGGAGGAAGGGAGAGAGAGGTGAGTGAGGCGAGCCAGCAGACTACATCATTTACATCATCGATGTGTGAGATGCGCGGTGATCAGATATATCCCCTTCCTGCTGCCCCCATCTGTGTCCCCCAATGCTACCCCTCCCAGACAACCTCGCGGCCAACTTCAGTCGAGAGCTAGCGGACTACATCATCTATATCATTGACGTGTCGGGCGGGGATAAAATCCCCAGGAAGGGCGGCCCTGGCATCACCCAGGCGGACCTATTGGTGAGAGGAAAAGGGGGTGGTGAGACGGGGGAGAGGAGGGGGCGGCACGCATGGTTTCATAAGCGGGCTCTTTGAATGTGCAGGGAAGATCTCGAGGAAGGGCAGCTGGAGGATCACACAGGCAGACCTGATGGTGAGAGGAAGAGAGAGGTGGGGGTGGGTGGGGGAGGATGAGCGTGAGTTCAAGTGTGCTTGCAAGGGGTGGGAGCTCTCGGGCCGAACTAGTCGTTGAACGCCTTTCTTCCTTCCTCCTTTCCCTTGCCCCTTTTCTTCCCCTTCCCTGCTGACCCCTTTCTTCGCCTTCCCCACTGCCCCGTTCCTTTTTCCTTGAGCCTCTTCCTGCGTCATGCTCTCTGCTGCCTTTTGAGTCGACTCAACTGTCATCGTGACTCTCGTCCTTTTCTGTGCTCTCTGATCTGCTGCATAAATCTACTGTGCTGACGTGGCATCATCAGGTGGTGAACAAGACTGACCTGGCACCGGCGATCGGTGCTGACCTGGCAGTCATGGAAAGAGACGCGCTGCGCATGCGGGATGGGGGACCGCTGGTGTTTGCACAGGTGAGCTGGTGCAGAGGGGAGTGAAGGGACAGAAGGGCTAGTGCTGCCCCTGGTGTTCGCCAAGGTGTGTGGGGGAGAGGTGGTGATGGTGCATGTCACTGCGCTGCACTGTGCCATGCTCTATCCCATGCTCCCTGCCATGTGGTAACAAGAGCTTTCAGCAGTTCCGGCCATAATGGACAAGCTCTCACAATATAGGGATAGAACCTAGGGATAGAACATAGGGATAGAACCTAGGGATAGAACATAGGGATAGAACCTAGGGGCTCCCCTCCGAACCTGCTTGACCTCACACATCCTTTGCATGTTGCCATCCCTTCCCTCAATGCAGGTGAAGCATGAAGTTGTAGCGCCAGCCAGAGTGGACCGTGTGCCTTCTGAGTCGATTCACAAGTCATGTGCTCCTCATGTATCCCGCCCTTCTCCCTTACCTCCTGCCGGCGCTCCGCCCATCCTCCTCCTCACCACCTTAACTTGTTTTTTTTAGAATTCTCAAAAAGAGTCAACTACGCTCCGCTCATCCTCCTCACCATCGCCCCCTTTATCAGATGAAACACGGTGTGGGGGGGTGCTGGCCATACTGGCCCACGTGCTGCTCTGCATGCATGTGGCATGTTCTCATCTAACCCATCTCTACTCTTGTGCAAGCTCTTACTCTTTTCACCATCAGGTGAAGCATGGAGTGAAAGTAAGTACCAGCCATAAATCATGTGCTCACAGCATATCATCCCACCCACCCATCCCCATGCATCCCTCCCACCCATCCCCATGCATCCCTCCCACCCATCCCCATGCATCCCTCCCACCCATCCCCATGCATCCCTCCCACCCATCCCCATGCATTCCTCCCACCCATCCCCATGCATTCCTCCCACCCATCCCCATGCATCCCTCCCACCCATCCCCATGCATACCTCCCACCCATCCCCGTGCATTCCTCCCACCCATCCCCGTGCATTCCTCCCACCCATCCCCATGCATTCCTCCCACCCATCCCCATGCATCCCTCCCACCCATCCCCATGCATTCCTCCCACCCATCCCCATGCATTCCTCCCACCCATCCCCATGCATTCCTCCCACCCATCCCCATGCATTCCTCCCACCCATCCCCATGCATTCCTCCCACCCATCCCCATGCATTCCTCCCACCCATCCCCATGCATCCCTCCCACCCATCCCCATGCATTCCTCCCACCCATCCCCATGCATCCCTCCCACCCATCCCCATGCATCGCTCCCACCCATCCCCATGCATCCCTCGCACCCATCCCCATGCATCCCTCCCACCCATCCCCATGCATCCCTCCCACCCATCCCCATGCATCCCTCCCACCCATCCCCATGCATCTCTCCCACCCATCCCCATGCATTCCTCCCACCCATCCCCATGCATCCCTCCCACCCATCCCCATGCATCCCTCCCACCCATCCCCATGCATCCCTCCCACCCATCCCCATGCATCCCTCCCACCCATCCCCATGCATCCCTCCCACCCATCCCCATGCATCCCTCCCACCCATCCCCATGCATTCCTCCCACCCATCCCCATGCATCCCTCCCACCCATCCCCATGCATCCCTCCCACCCATCCCCATGAATTCCTCCCACCCATCCCCATGCATTCCTCCCACCCATCCCCATGCATCCCTCCCACCCATCCCCATGCATCCCTCCCACCCATCCCCATGCATCCCTCCCACCCATCCCCATGCATCCCTCCCACCCATCCCCATGCATCCCTCCCACCCATCCCCATGCATCCCTCCCACCCATCCCCATGCATCCCTCCCACCCATCCCCATGCATCCCTCCCACCCATCCCCATGCATCCCTCCCACCCATCCCCATGCATCCCTCCCACCCATCCCCATGCATCCCTCCCACCCATCCCCATGCAGTCCCTCCCACCCATCCCCATGAATTCCTCCCACCCATCCCCATGCATCCCTCCCACCCATCCCCATGCATTCCTCCCACCCATCCCCATGCATCCCTCCCACCCATCCCATGCATCCCTCCCACCCATCCCCATGCATCCCTCCCACCCATCCCCATGCATCCCTCCCACCCATCCCCATGCATCCCTCCCACCCATCCCCATGCATCCCTCCCACCCATCCCCATGCATCCCTCCCACCCATCCCCATGCATCCCTCCCACCCATCCCCATGCATCCCTCCCACCCATCCCCATGCATCCCTCCCACCCATCCCCATGCATCCCTCCCACCCATCCCCATGCATCCCTCCCACCCATCCCCATGCATTCCTCCCACCCATCCCCATGCATCCCTCCCACCCATCCCCATGCATCCCTCCCACCCATCCCCATGAATTCCTCCCACCCATCCCCATGCATCCCTCCCACCCATCCCCATGCATTCCTCCCACCCATCCCCATGCATCCCTCCCACCCATCCCCATGCATCCCTCCCACCCATCCCCATGCATCCCTCCCACCCATCCCCATGCATCCCTCCCACCCATCCCCATGCATTCCTCCCACCCATCCCCATGCATCCCTCCCACCCATCCCCGTGCATTCCTCCCACCCATCCCCGTGCATCCCTCCCACCCATCCCCATGCATCCCTCCCACCCATCCCCATGCATCCCTCCCACCCATCCCCATGCATTCCTCCCACCCATCCCCATGCATTCCTCCCACCCATCCCCGTGCATTCCTCTCACCCATCCCCGTGCATTCCTCCCACCCATCCCCGTGCATCCCTCCCACCCATCCCCATGCATCCCTCCCACCCATCCCCATGCATCCCTCCCACCCATCCCCATGCATTCCTCCCACCCATCCCCATGCATCCCTCCCACCCATCCCCATGCATCGCTCCCACCCATCCCCATGCATCCCTCGCACCCATCCCCATGCATCCCTCCCACCCATCCCCATGCATCCCTCCCACCCATCCCCATGCATCCCTCCCACCCATCCCATGCATCTCTCCCACCCATCCCCATGCATTCCTCCCACCCATCCCCATGCATCCCTCCCACCCATCCCCATGCATTCCTCCCACCCATCCCCATGCATCCCTCCCACCCATCCCCATGCATCCCTCCCACCCATTGTTAAAATATATATTGTGTAGCATGCCAACACATGTGACTGTACACCAATTGTGGTGTACAGTTGGGTTGGGACTACACCCAACTTTGGGTGTAGTCTTGCACTTTGGGGTGCCAATCCACCCAATTGTGGTGGAGCCCCCAAATGCAACCCTCTTGACTTGTGGGTACCTCACTTCCCACAATTGAGGTTACCCCAAGCCAAGTGGGCCTAGGGTTGCCTCACTTCTACAAAGTGTGGGCAACCCAACCCACTTGACCTATGGTTCCCTCACTTCCCCAAGTGAGGTCAACCCAACCTATGGTCACTTTCATCCTTCCCTTCCAACCTTCCCTTCCAACTATGTATGCTAGGTTGTTCCTCTAATCTGATCACTTGTTCAATTTGCTACTTTCACACCCATCCCCATGCATCCCTCCCACCCATCCCCATGCATCCCTCCCACCCATCCCCATGCATCCCTCCCACCCATCCCCATGCATCCCTCCCACCCATCCCCATGCATCCCTCCCACCCATCCCCATGCATCCCTCCCACCCATCCCCATGCATCCCTCCCACCCATCCCCATGCATCCCTCCCACCATCCCCATGCATCCCTCCCACCCATCCCCATGCATCCCTCCCACCCATCCCCATGCATTCCTCCCACCCATCCCCATGCATCCCTCCCACCCATCCCCGTGCATTCCTCCCACCCATCCCCATGCATCCCTCCCACCCATCCCCGTGCATCCCTCCCACCCATCCCCATGCATCCCTCCCACCCATCCCCATGCATTCCTCCCACCCATCCCCATGCATTCCTCCCACCCATCCCCATGCATCCCTCCCACCCATCCCCATGCATCCCTCCCACCCATCCCCGTGCATCCCTCCCACCCATCCCCATGCATCCCTCCCACCCTTCCCCATGCATCCCTCCCACCCATCCCCATGCATCCCTCCCACCCATCCCCATGCATCTCTCCCACCCATCCCCATGCATCCCTCCCACCCATCCCCATGCATCCCTCCCACCCATCCCCATGCATCCCTCCCACCCATCCCCATGCATCCCTCCCACCCATCCCCATGCATCCCTCCCACCCATCCCCATGCATCCCTCCCACCCATCCCCATGCATCCCTCCCACCCATCCCCATGCATCCCTCCCACCCATCCCCATGCATCGCTCCCACCCATCCCCATGCATCCCTCCCACCCATCCCCATGCATCCCTCCCACCCATCCCCATGCATCCCTCCCACCCATCCCCATGCATCCCTCCCACCCATCCCCATGCATCCCTCCCACCCATCCCCATGCATCCCTCCCACCCATCCCCATGCATTCCTCCCACCCATCCCCATGCATCCCTCCCACCCATCCCCGTGCATCCCTCCCACCCATCCCCATGCATCCCTCCCACCCATCCCCATGCATCCCTCCCACCCATCCCCATGCATTCCTCCCACCCATCCCCATGCATTCCTCCCACCCATCCCCATGCATCCCTCCCACCCATCCCCATGCATCCCTCCCACCCATCCCCATGCATCCCTCCCACCCATCCCCATGCATCCCTCCCACCCTTCCCCATGCATCCCTCCCACCCATCCCCATGCATCCCTCCCACCCATCCCCATGCATCTCTCCCACCCATCCCCATGCATCCCTCCCACCCATCCCCATGCATCCCTCCCACCCATCCCATGCATCCCTCCCACCCATCCCCATGCATCCCTCCAACCCATCCCCATGCATCCCTCCCACCCATCCCCATGCATCCCTCCCACCCATCCCCATGCATCCCTCCCACCCATCCCCATGCATCCCTCCCACCCATCCCCATGCATTCCTCCCACCCATCCCCATGCATCCCTCTACCCATCCCCATGCATCTCTCCCACCCATCCCCATGCATCCCTCCCACCCATCCCCATGCATCCCTCCCACCCATCCCCATGCATCCCTCCCACCCATCCCCATGCATCCCTCCCACCCATCCCCATGCATCCCTCCCACCCATCCCCATGCATTCCTCCCACCCATCCCATGCATTCCCTCCCACCCATCCCCATGCATCCTCCCACACTCCCACCCATACCCCATGCATCCCTCCCACCCATCCCCATGCATCCCTCCCACCCATCCCCATGCATCCCTCCCACCCATCCCATGCATCCCTCCCACCATCCCCATGGCAAGTTCCCTCCCACCCATCCCCATGCATTCCCTCCCACCCATCCCATGCATCCCTCCCACCCATCCCCATGCATCCTCCCACCCATCCCATGCATCCCTCCCACCCATCCCCATGCATCCCTCCCACCCTATCCCCATGCATCCCTCCCACCCATCCCCATGCATCCCTCCAACCCATCCCATGCATCTCTCCCACCCATGCCCCATGCATCCCTCCCACCCATCCCCATGCATCCCTCCCACCCATCCCCATGCATCCTCCCACCCATCCCCATGCATCCCTCCCACCCATCCCATGCATCCCTCCCACCCATCCCCATCCCTCCCACCCATCCCATGCATCCCTCCCACCCATCCCCATGCATCCCTCCCACCCATCCCCATGCATCCCTCCCACCCATCCCCATGCATTCCTCCCACCCATCCCCATGCATCCCTCCACCCATCCCCATGCATCCTCCCACCCATCCCCATGCATCCCTCCCACCCATCCCCATGCATCCCTCCCACCCATCCCCATGCATCCCTCCACCCATCCCCATGCATCCCTCCCACCCATCCCCATGCATTCCCTCCCACCCATCCCCATGCAGTCACTCCCACCCATCCCCATGCATTCCCTCCCACCCACCCCATGCATCCTCCACCATACCCATGCATCCCTCCCACCCATCCCCATGCATCCCTCCCACCCATCCCCATGCATCCCTCCCACCCATCCCCATGCATCCCTCCCACCCATCCCCATGCATTCCTCCCACCCATCCCCATGCATCCCTCCCACCCATCCCCATGCATCCCTCCCACCCATCCCCATGCATCCCTCCCACCATCCCCATGCATCCCTCCCACCCATCCCCATGCATCCCCTCCCACCCATCCCCATGCATCCCTCCCACCCATCCCCATGCATCCCTCCCACCCATTCCCCATGCATCCCTCCCACCCATCCCCATGCATTCCTCCCACCCATCCCCATGCATTCCCTCCCACCCATCCCCATGCATCCCTCCCACCCATCCCCATGCATTCCCTCCCACCCATCCCCATGCATCCCTCCCACCCATCCCCATGCATCCCTCCCACCCATCCCCATGCATCCCTCCCACCCATCCCCATGCATCCCTCCCACCCATCCCCATGCATCCCTCCCACCCATCCCCATGCATTCCTCCCACCCATCCCCATGCATCCCTCCCACCCATCCCCATGCATCCCTCCCACCCATACCCCATGCATCCCTCCCACCCATCCCATGCATTCCCTACCCACCCATCCCCATGCATCCCTCCCACCCATCCCCATGCATCCCTCCCACCCATCCCCATGCATCCCTCCCACCCATCCCCATGCATTCCCTCCCACCCATCCCCATGCATCCCTCCCACCCATCCCCATGCATCCCTCCCACCCATCCCCATGCATCCCTCCCACCCATCCCCATGCATCCCTCCCACCCATCCCATGCATCCTCCCACCCATCCCATGCATCCCTCCCACCCATCCCCATGCATCCCTCCCACCAGCATCCCCATGCTCCCTCCCACCCATCCCCTGCATCCCTCCACCCATCCCCATGCATTCCTCCCACCCATCCCCATGCATCCCTCCCACCCATCCCCATGCATCCCTCCCACCCATCCCCATGCATCCCTCCCACCCATCCCCATGCATCCCTCCCACCCATCCCATGCATTCCTCCCACCCATACCCCTGCATTCCCTCCCCCCCATCCCCATGCATCCCTCCCACCCATCCCCATGCATTCCTCCCACCCATCCCCATGCATCCCTCCCACCCATCCCCATGCATCCTCCACCCATCCCCATGCATCCCTCCCACCCATCCCCATGCATCCTCCCACCCATCCCCATGCATTCCTCCACCCATCCCTCATGCATCCCTCCCACCCATCCCCATGCATCCCTCCCACCCATCCCGCATGCATCCTCCCACCATCCCCATGCAATCCTCACTCACCCATCCCATGCATCCCTCCACCCATCCCCATGCATCCCTCCCACCCATCCCCATGCATCCTCCCACCCATCCCCATGCATCCTCCCACCCATCCCCATGCATCCCTCCCACCCATCCCCATGCATCCTCCCACCCATCCCCATGCTCCCTCCCACCCATCCCCATGCATCCCTCCCACCCATCCCCATGCATCCCTCCCACCCATCCCCCATGCATTCCCTCCCACCCATCCCCATGCATCCCTCCCACCCATCCCCATGCATCCCTCCCACCCATCCCCATGCATCCCTCCCACCCATCCCCATGCATCCCTCCCACCCATCCCCATGCATTCCCTCCCACCCATCCCCATGCATCCCTCCCCACCCATCCCCATGCATCCCTCCCACCCATCCCCATGCATCCCTCCCACCCATCCCCATGCATCCCTCCCACCCATCCCCATGCATCCCTCCCACCCATCCCCATGCATCCCTCCCACCCATCCCCATGCATCCCTCCCACCCATCCCCATGCATCCCTCCCACCCATCCCCATGCATCCCTCCCACCCATCCCCATGCATCCCTCCCACCCATCCCCATGCATTCCCTCCCACCCATCCCCATGCATCCCTCCCACCCATCCCCATGCATCCCTCCCACCCATCCCACCCATCCCCATGCATCCCTCCCACCCATTCCCCATGCATCCCTCCCACCCATCCCCATGCATCCCTCCCACCCATCCCCATGCATCCCTCCCACCCATCCCCATGCATCCCTCCCACCCATCCCCATGCATCCCTCCCACCCATCCCCATGCATCCCTCCCACCCATCCCATGCATCCCTCCCACCCATTCCCCATGCATCCCTCCCACCCATCCCCATGCATCCCTCCCACCCATCCCCATGCATCCCTCCCACCCATCCCCATGCATCCTCCCACCCATCCCCATGCATCCTCCCACCATCCCCATGCATCCCTCCCACCCATCCCCATGCATCCCTCCCACCCATCCCATGCATCCCTCCCACCCATCCCCATGCATCCCTCCCACCCATCCCCATGCATCCCTCCCACCCATCCCCATGCATCCCTCCCACCCATCCCCATGCATCCCTCCCACCCATCCCCATGCATCCTCCCACCCATCCCCATGCATCCTCCCACCCATCCCCATGCATCCCTCCCACCCATCCCCATGCATCCCTCCCACCCATCCCCATGCATCCCTCCCACCCATCCCCATGCATCCCTCCCACCCATCCCCATGCATCCTCCCACCCCATGCATCCCTCCCACCCATCCCCATGCATCCCTCCCACCCATCCCCATGCATTCCTCCCACCCATCCCATGCATCCCTCCCACCCATCCCCATGCATCCCTCCCACCCATCCCCATGCATCTCTCCCACCCATCCCCATGCATCCCTCCCACCCATCCCCATGCATCCCTCCCACCCATCCCCATGCATCCCTCCCACCCATCCCCATGCATCCCTCCCACCCATCCCCATGCATCCCTCCCACCCATCCCCATGCATCCTCCCACCCATCCCCATGCATCCCTCCCACCCATGCCCCATGCATTCCCTCCCACCCATCCCCATGCATCCCTCCCACCCATCCCCATGCATCCCTCCCACCCATCCCCATGCATCCCTCCCACCCATCCCCATGCATTCCTCCCACCCATCCCCATGCATCCCTCCCACCCATCCCCATGCATCCCTCCCACCCATCCCCATGCATCCCTCCCACCCATCCCCATGCATCCCTCCCACCCATCCCCATGCATCCCTCCCACCCATCCCCATGCATCCCTCCCACCCATCCCCATGCATCCCTCCCACCCATCCCCATGCATCCCTCCCACCCATCCCCATGCATCCCTCCCACCCATCCCCATGCATCCCTCCCACCCATCCCCATGCATCCCTCCCACCCATCCCCATGCATCCCTCCCACCCATCCCCATGCATCGCTCCCACCCATCCCCATGCATCCCTCCCACCCATCCCCATGCATCCCTCCCACCCATCCCCATGCATCCCTCCCACCCATCCCCATGCATCCCTCCCACCCATCCCCATGCATCCCTCCCACCCATCCCCATGCATCCCTCCCACCCATCCCCATGCATTCCTCCCACCCATCCCCATGCATCCCTCCCACCCATCCCCGTGCATCCCTCCCACCCATCCCCATGCATCCCTCCCACCCATCCCCATGCATCCCTCCCACCCATCCCCATGCATTCCTCCCACCCATCCCCATGCATTCCTCCCACCCATCCCCATGCATCCCTCCCACCCATCCCCATGCATCCCTCCCACCCATCCCCATGCATCCCTCCCACCCATCCCCATGCATCCCTCCCACCCTTCCCCATGCATCCCTCCCACCCATCCCCATGCATCCCTCCCACCCATCCCCATGCATCTCTCCCACCCATCCCCATGCATCCCTCCCACCCATCCCCATGCATCCCTCCCACCCATCCCCATGCATCCCTCCCACCCATCCCCATGCATCCCTCCCACCCATCCCCATGCATCCCTCCCACCCATCCCCATGCATCCCTCCCACCCATCCCCATGCATCCCTCCCACCCATCCCCATGCATTCCTCCCACCCATCCCCATGCATCCCTCTACCCATCCCCATGCATCTCTCCCACCCATCCCCATGCATCCCTCCCACCCATCCCCATGCATCCCTCCCACCCATCCCCATGCATCCCTCCCACCCATCCCCATGCATCCCTCCCACCCATCCCCATGCATCCCTCCCACCCATCCCCATGCATTCCTCCCACCCATCCCCATGCATTCCTCCCACCCATCCCCATGCATCCCTCCCACCCATCCCCATGCATCCCTCCCACCCATCCCCATGCATTCCTCCCACCCATCCCCATGCATCCCTCCCACCCATCCCCATGCATCCCTCCCACCCATCCCCATGCATCTCTCCCACCCATCCCCATGCATCCCTCCCACCCATCCCCATGCATCCCTCCCACCCATCCCCATGCATCCCTCCCACCCATCCCCATGCATCCCTCCCACCCATCCCCATGCATCCCTCCCACCCATCCCCATGCATCCCTCCCACCCATCCCCATGCATCCCTCCCACCCATGCCCATGCATTCCTCCCACCCATCCCCATGCATCCCTCCCACCCATCCCCATGCATCCCTCCCACCCATCCCCATGCATCCCTCCCACCCATCCCCATGCATTCCTCCCACCCATCCCCATGCATCCCTCCCACCCATCCCCATGCATCCCTCCCACCCATCCCCATGCATCCCTCCCACCCATCCCCATGCATCCCTCCCACCCATTCCCATGCATCCCTCCCACCCATCCCCATGCATCCCTCCCACCCATCCCCATGCATCCCTCCCACCCATCCCCATGCATCCCTCCCACCCATCCCCATGCATTCCTCCCACCCATCCCCATGCATTCCTCCCACCCATCCCCATGCATCCCTCCCACCCATCCCCATGCATCCCTCCCACCCATCCCCATGCATCCCTCCCACCCATCCCCATGCATCCCTCCCACCCATCCCCATGCATTCCTCCCACCCATCCCCATGCATCCCTCCCACCCATCCCCATGCATCCCTCCCACCCATCCCCATGCATTCCTCCCACCCATCCCCATGCATCCCTCCCACCCATCCCCATGCATTCCTCCCACCCATCCCCATGCATTCCTCCCACCCATCCCCATGCATTCCTCCCACCCATCCCCATGCATTCCTCCCACCCATCCCCATGCATTCCTCCCACCCATCCCCATGCATTCCTCCCACCCATCCCCATGCATTCCTCCCACCCATCCGTTCTTCCTCCCCGTTCGGGCTCCCACCCCTCCCCTCGACACAGGTGAGTGGGTGTGCCAGCTACAGTGGACCATGTACAGCATGGAGTGCCGCTCTGCACGTGCGCATGCCTCCATATATCTCCATGCGTTCTTCTTTGTGTGCATACATCCCATCCCTTCCCTCTAAGCAGGTGAAGCATGGGGTGGGGGTGCCAGCCATAGTGGATCATGTGCTCACAGCATGGAGTGCTGCCACAGGGCAGCCCAGGAGGTGACGGGAAGCATGCTCCCTATGCCCTCACTGTTACAGTCAGTCGTAGTTACATGCATGGTAACAGATAGTTACGGTTACAGTCACATCCTCGGCCATAGTGGATCATGTACTCACAGCATGGAGTGCTGCCACAGGCCAGCCCAGGAGGAGGTGAATGGTACACTTTCCCTATCACATGTGCTGTTAAAGTCCCTGACACAATAATTGGTACAGCAAGGTAACGATGATAGGTCATGTTTGAAATCAAGGCCACGGGCATTGCCATTGGCTGGCAGTTCTGCGTTTGTTACTACTATGCATTTTTGGTGGATGATTTATGAAAGGCGTACCGTATGCTGTATTATATTGAGATGTCAAAACGTAATACTTGCTAATTCCCGTCACTTAGTTTTTTATATGTACTTGTGAACACGACTCAGTCTCACTGACCTTGTTTTGGCAAGTTTCAAGTGACCTTCCACTCTGCCTAAATTCACGCACAAGTGCTATAACGGGGATAACGCTGGAGTCCAAGCTTCTTGAATCTCAACTTCTCAACGCAACCCCTTCGACGAGCCCTTGCTTTCCTGATATTCTCTAGGTCACAGCCGAGCTTCATAACCATGGGTTACCATACCACATTTTTCAATCCTCTCGCCACGCCAACGTCCGAACCTACCGATGTTCCCGCTTTTCTCACTCCCGTGCCGCATTTCATGTTTCCGGTAGCGGCGGACCCCTGAGCATTACGAGTGATTCAGTACCCCGACATTCACTAGGTTTGTCAATCCATACCACAATCCCCGTGACTCTCGACAGCTTCCGAAGCTAGCCATTTTCCCGCCTTTCACATTCGCCCGGGCCGCACTCGTTCTCCCGATTGCAACGGACCCTTAAGCATTGCGTGCTCCAGTAGGATCTCTCCACGCTGTCACACGAAGCACATCTGTCGCGTTCTGAGTCGTCCCTGGTCAAACGGACTGCGCCTCGACACTTTAGGCTTCGCCATGGGCTCCGAAGCCCACCCGAGCCCTTGCGAACATGCCACCCTCAAACAACCCAAACCACAGGCGACGAATTCGCGGAGCTGCTTCACACCCAGTGCCTCCCTCCCACCCCCTCCGTGCATCTCGCCGAATTCCGTCCCTGCTTCAGCCTCACACCCCATTCTCGCCTCCCGTCAGACCCCTCAATCCAGCAGCCGACGAAAGTATAAAGAGCCTAGGGGGTTTCTATTCCCGTTCATCAATCAGTTGTGCGAATCATCACTCAGCCTTCCAGTTCCTACAGTCCCCTGATTTTAACAAGGCCTCAGTACCTGCAGTTTGAACCTTCGAGTGCTCGATATCAGTCTCGAAAGCTCTACACTACTTAGCCAGACCATCTTACCTACTACGACCGTCAACGAGATGGCCTGCATTGTTGCTGCGAGTCCCTGCGTGGACATTGACGCTCTGTTCTCGAGCTGCTGGGAGCAGGATGCCTCCCTCGCTCGCTATGTTTGCAGCTTGGTCTCTCTTCCGTCCCTGGTAAGAACAAACTCTCACCTGCCCGTTTCCCCTTTGTTTACTTCTCTTGCAAATTAACTTCTTACTTTACCAAGTCAGAGTCGGTTATAGCAGATGCTAACGCGGCTTTCTCTTTAATTTTTGCAGGTCGACTTCCAGTGGACCAGGTCAAGCGATGATCAAGTAGCAGCCAAGGCTGCTCCGCTCGCGGCCGAGGCTCCTGCTGCCATCAGTGTTGAGGCTGCTGCTGTCGAAGTCGCGACTCCCGCTGTCAAGGTCGCGGCTGTTGCTGTCACGGTCTCGTCTCCTGCTGTCGAGGTCGCGGATCCAGCTGACTTCATTGAAACTGCTGATTGCTCAGCTGGGGACGCGTTCTGGCTGAGTGAGGAATCGAAGGAGGCAGCTCCTTCATTCCCAGTCGCGGAGGGACCGCAGGGTGCGAAGGTGGGAGCAGAGGAGAGCAGCGGTTGCTGCAGCATGAGCCGCAGCGAGAGCAGCTGCAGCAGCCACAGTGCGTGCCTTATTGACCTCTCCTGGGATAGCTGCAGCTCCTCCTCCTCCTCGTCTGCTCTCACTGTCTTTTCCTCATCTCCTGTCATGGGTGTGAAGATGGGGATTGGCCGAGGTTTTTGCAGCAGTGGGAAAGGATGGATGGTGGAGGCGAAGGATGCTGGGCACCCAGTGGGAAAATGTGTTTTTTCAAACCAGCTGTTTGGGGATGGTGAGGAGGAGGATGAGAGTTACAGTGATTCCATATATGATGGGAAGGGGAGTTTGAGCAAGGGGATCGGGCGTGGCTTGTGCAGCAGTGGGAAGGAATGGAGCATGGAGGCGAAGGATGCTGGGGAGCCATGGGGAAAAAATAAGTTTCCAAACCAGCTGTTTGGGGAAGATGAGGAGGAGGATGAGAGTAACAGCCACCAGGGCGCTGGATTGGGTGGGAAGGGGAGTGTGTGCTACATGAACCAGCTGTACATGGATGAAGAGGAGGAGGAGGAGAGGAGTTGCTTGGCAGCAACAGGGATTTCAGTTGGCATCGGCACGTTTGGTGCTCGTCGCAGAATAACGGGCTCTAGCAGCCGAGTCACTGTCCGCAGGATGAGTGCTACACTCAGGCAATTCTAGTAAATAGGGTAGGCTAGGCTAGAATAAATGCCTTGTGTGAAGGCGTTAGCAGCACCTGTGGCCAGAACCAGACGCACTGGACTGCCACTGGTGTTGTGCACAATATGGGATGTTTACGCAATGTGTTTGTTTGATACGGTACATCTGTCAAACCTCATCTCCTCACTCACACGACAGGAACTGAAGTACGTACCATGTACAGTAAATGAATCAGAGTTGCTGTATAGTGCAGGCAACAACCTTTCAGATTCCTCCAGGGTTTCATTCCAGAATGACATGGACGTGCTGCTGTACAAGATACCGGTAAGGTGACTAAGGCAGTACAGTACATACACGGACACAGGCCGTCAGCAGCAGGACAAAGTCTGAGCTATTGTATGGGAAAAGGGTCATCATAGAGTTACAACAACAGCATCCTGAAATGTCAGGGTAGAGCCTCGAACATCACCCAAAAAAACAGTGGATCAGCATATTTACCCCAATAACATACGGTAAGGCCTGGTGAACACATCCAGCAACGTCACGCTGATATTAGTTCAGGTGGCATGGCGACCTTCATGCCATTCAGGCAGTCATTGCCAACACTGCTGGTAAAGTATCCCGTGTATCCGCTATCCCCTGCAGCCACCACGAGCTTGAACGTGCCGTGCTTTGATGCCTTGGTGAGAACAGAAACAGGAGGCCCGTTATTCCCGAAGAAACACGTGGGGAAGCGCTGAGCAGTGATGGACACCACATTGTGCTTGTGCAGCCAGTCGTTCCACTTGAACACTGCCGTTGGGGGAACACAATTGCGGGTACTGTAAGTAAGGGAGAGTCACACGAAAGAGAGAAGGTGAATGGGAAGATAATGAGAGAGTGGGAGGCCTAGGCCTGGTCCTGCTGCACACCCACAGCCCAAGACACCACGATATAGAACCCCACTCCCACACCGTAGCCCACCAGCTAGCCACCCTTTATCTTACCAACAGTAAAATCCGTGGACCAGAGATGTCTGTCCCCCCTCTGTTAAGCTCTGTAATGCCGCCTGCTCTGCCTTCATGCGTCATTTCCAACCCCCCCCTCCCCCCTCTCCCCCCCATTCCTCCCCATTCCCCACCCGCCCCCAACCAGCCCCACCACTCCCCACCCTCACCCCACCCACTCTTTGTTAGAATCTAGAAGTGAACGAGAATGATGACTAGCAGGAGAATGGGAGTACAAGTACCACAAACCTAGAGTAGTGTACCCCCTAGAAGGCTAACCCACTATAGCCTACACAAATATAACAAGTATAATGTTTGACACACCTCCATAGGCAAAGTGGGGGAGAGCAAGGGGTCACAAGACCAGTCAAAGCAAAGCAAGGCAAAATAAGCTCATGGTGGATCTCAAGGATACCACACAAATTCCGAGCACAAGCAAGCGGTCACAAGACCAGTTCACATGCAGTTTGATAATATAACAAGAGGTACAGTGATCACAACCTAGCAAGTGTAAACATGCAGGTATATATATATAGAGATCACAGTACAAGCAGAGTCAAGAAGTGAGCAAGTGAGGGACAGTAGGCACAAGGCCTAGAACAGTACAGAAACGCTGATGATCACAAGGCTGAAACGCCTTGGTGAACACATCAGCAGTGTTGGCCCGAGTGGCCACGTACGAGAGACGAAGCTGACCACGCTGCTGCAGCTCTCGAGCAAGGAAGTAGCGCAGAGCGATGTGCTTCGTTCTGTGCTCCAGTCTGTGCTCCTGACACAAGGCAAGGGCTGCCTTGTTGTCGACGTACAGCACTGGAGGAGAACGAGGCCGCTCTCCCAGGTCGGTCAGCAGGTAGGTGAGCCAGCGTAGCTCCTGGGCAGCCATGGCTGTGGCGTAGATCTCAGCCTCACAACTGGAGCTGAGAACTGAAGACGAGCGTGTAGAACGCCAAGAAACTGAGCCAGAGCCAAGGCTGAAGGTGTAACCCTGAGACGACCGCTGCGTAGCCTGGTCGTCAGCCCAAGAAGAGTCGGAGTGTCCAGTGAGGACAACGTCGCGCCGTCCTCCAAGCACAAGCCCCATGCCCGACGTACTGCACAAGTAGCGCAACACCCTCTTAGCAGCATCCATGTGCTCCTTCCGGTGACGGCCAGGAGCGACATAGCGTGCTAGGATGCTAAGAGGGTATGCAAGGTCAGGTCGAGTGCAGGTCATCAGGTACATGAGGCAGCCCACAAGCTCTGGATACGGGCCACTCGGCTCTACGGACTCATCCGAAGGCAGAGCTGAGAGCGAGTGACCAGTAGGCAGAGGAGTGGGCTGAGGCGAGAAGTACATGAAGCGGAAGCGCTGAAGGACCTGCTGCACCATGTGTGACTAAGTCAAGGTGATGGTGCGCTGTGCTCTGTCCCGGGTGATCCGCAAG